ATCAATTGAAAAGGTTGAGGCATACATTAGTGTGCATTCCAAATCACCTACTACCATTTGTCATGTTATTACAGAATCTGACACTATACAGCGGTCACAAAGATATGTGATAAAACTCAAACCCACTTCATGACTTATCATTATGTTTGTAAAATATTAATGCAGTTTCCACAGATATTCCATAGAGATGAGGATAAGATTAGTTTGGACATTGCTGTGTATCTATAGATGCTTTATTACCATTGCATTTTAATTTATAGCAAATTGGTCATTAATAGAATATTTTAAGTATCTGCTGTATAAACATAATGTAAAGTGTTACAAAAATGCCTTATTTTGCTTTGTGTAATTTATTCACAAAGGCACTTGATTGACACTTGTAAAATTACTGTGGGAAGCTGGATCAAAAATCAGTCCAAAGTTTTTGCAGTGAACAGCTTTCATGTCTATGCATAATTACAGTTTTGGAACTTGGAATTGTCTTGCAGGAAGGTACTGTACATTATTGCCGGGCTATCACTAGGGTTTATAAAGCTCAGTACTCAGTGCTCAGTGATTCTTATTATGCCTTTGAAAGCCGTTGGAAGTTTTCAACGTCATTATCCATGGATGGGATTTGATTATGCATTTTCACTATCATCTTTGCCATGGATAGTGATTTTCATTGTGTGCACAAAGACATTTCAGGCGATTGCAGTGCTGTATTCAAACATATCATGGATATATGACGCAACTGAATGATGTTTGACGTAGTGTAGTTATTTAGGTCTCTAAGGTCATTTGTTATTTTACAGAATAACCTTTACATTACCATGTTTAAAAACATCACACAAATAGGATGACCTAAAGTATAATTTAAGCTTTAATGTGACTGCTCAAAGTTCTTTTTGTGCAAATCAGTTGCAATGTAAGACCTCTTTTTAAAAAAAAAGGTTCACTGCATCATAAGGAGCTGAAACGGGGCTTTTTTTAGACATTTGGGACGTAAGAAGACATTTTATATCCTGCCCTTTATCTGTTTGTTTCCTCTTGCTAGTTCATTATCACTCTGCTGGTGTGCACTTTGAAAGCTGGTCTTTTTGAAGTCAGCTGTGCATGACGTTGCCTCACAACGCAAGCAGCACAGCCAGTATGAGCTCAATATATGTATCATCTTTTTAATAACTTTAAAAAAGTAATTGCTCGGCCTGTACACATACATATTAATGTTTATTTTAATTGCAGTTGCATATAAAACATTTGCAGTGCAGACATTTAATACAAACATAATTTGATCTGTCAATATATGTTTTTAAGAAAGAGTAAAACAGAATATTGATTAACTGCCTTCGTGAACTAAATATTGATTAAAAGGGGCGAAGCGGTGGCCGTAGCTGGAAGGTTGCTGGTTCAAATCCCACAGCCGGCAGAGGAATCCTACTCTGTTGGGCCCCTGAGCAAGGCCCTTAGCCCCAGCTGCTCCATGGGCGCTGTACAATGGCTGACCCTGCACTCTTCTCTGCCTGTCTGTGTGTCTCATGGAGAGCAAGCTGGGGTATGCAAAAAAGACAAATTCCTAATGCAAGAAATTGTATATGGCCAATAAAGTGATCTTAACTTTATAATCAGTGACAAATGACAGATGAAAAAAACTGACTCCAGTTATGAATGCCTATTTGTAAAGTCATACATTTATATGTGGAATGTCACTTTTAAGATGATGCAAATGTATCATTTATGTACTCTGAGTGAAAATCAAACACTATAAATATACATTTTAATGAATTGAATTGAATTGAATTGGACATAGCCATACTGATTCTATAAATTCTATAAAACAAATATATACTTATGGACAAAAATGCCAACAACACATTTTAAGGAAGTATTGAATATTTTTAACTTAATTTAGTCTTTCTTTAGACTGCATTAATGTGAATAACTGTTCTTTAAATAGGCCACTTACTGTATATCTAGCATCACAAAAGAAGCTAATATTCTGCATTAGGAAGATTTCCTGGTGTCATACATTACACTCTGTATGAGTTTTTTTGTAAATTGCCTAGTGTTTTTCTTTATAAACATGAATGTTAAGGTTTAAAACTTCACAATAAAAACTATGTTATATAAAACCTTTTAATAGTTTTAATAGAACATCTTCTAAATCTTCCATATCATCCTGCATCTCATAACTGGAAATCAGCTTAAACTCAGCAGGTGTGAGTCTGGCCAGAATCTGGATGGGAGTCCTGGGAAAAACTAAAGTTGCTGCTGGAAGAGGTGTTAGTGGGTCCAGTAGGGGGCACTCACCATGCGGTCTGTGTGGGTCCTAATGCCCTAGTATAGTGACAGGGACACTTTACCGTAAAAAGCCGCCATACTATGGATGAGATGTAAGACTGAGGTCCTGACTTTCTGTGATCATCAAAAATCCCAGGGAGTTTCTCAAAAAGAGTAGGGGTGTTACCCCAGCGTGCTGGCCAAATTTCCCATTGATCTTTATCAATCATGGCCTCTAAATAATCCCCATCTATGAATTGGCTCCATCCCTCCGTTGTCCTCCCCACCGATAGCTGGTGTGTAGTGAGCGTACTAGTGCACTATGGCTGCACTATGTGGATGCTGCACATTGGTGGTGGTGGAAGGGATCCCAATTACTTGCAAAGCACTTTGAGTGGAGTGTCTAGTAAAGCACTATGTACTGTAAGTGTAACAAATTATTCATCTTTGCAGCCTGATTTAAAGAGTGTCTTTTTAAATCAGTATAATATTCCTTTTAGACCTCTCTGTGGGTAGCTGGTTAAATAAAACCATAAATAAATGGAGGCAATTTCATAACTATCAAATGCATCAAATCCAGACCAACCACAGCTTTAATACCCACTATAATAAATTTTCCATAAAGCAACATAAAACAGATGTTTTTAAATTTCTAATAAAATGCTTAAATTCTTTTCCATTTAAAAAGAAATACTAAAAGTAATAAAGTAAACTTGCATCATTCACCTTTTATGTGCTTTTAATAACACAGTACTCATTCAATTGAAATAAAATACATATTTAAATTATCCACCTATAATTATTATATATAATCCCTCAGATTATATATATATTAACTAGAATGCTGCTTGTAGTTTTTTTTGTAGTAAAATCAAATAAAAAATGTGCAGCTGTAATCACAAATCTGAATTAATTAGAGATGCATATCCTAGTTCTTCACTATCCTAAATATTGGAATATGATTCATATAGTTTTGAAATTCTCCCCAGTGATAACCAGTTGGGTGGAATATGATGTTCCTCTATTCTATCAGATGGTTAAACTGTTGTACCAGTTTTGGTACAAATCTCAATGTACAGAGTGGTTTATATTCTGACACCTTCTGACACCTTCTCTTGTTTAAGAAACTGAAAGGGATAAAAAAAAAAACTTTCAGAGATACTGTAAAACCTGAAAATCCCAAACCACTCAGTGACTGACAGAAAATAAAAAAGTTGGACATGAAATAAAACTGAGGTTTCTAAGCTTAAAATGTGGTTCAGTGCAAATGTGACAAATGTGCCACTATATTTAGGGGTGTGTGATTTTAAACTAGGCCCTAGTTTAAATGTATACATTACACAACCAACCTTTAAGATGATAACTTTCACCATTGTAACTCACACAGAGCAACCTTGACATCATATTAAAACCTGTAGTAATTTTGTCTAAACATTTTTTTCTGAAGTATGTGGTAATTTCAAGAAGTGAATAAAACATACAGGGCCTTTACATGCTAGCACCACAGCTACCTGTAGAATGGACTAAAGGTAATTCTATCAGGATTTTTTAAATGTTTTCTACAGGCATAAAACTCTTATGCCTGTAGAAAACATAAAAATATTTCTGTGAAGATGCAGAGAATCCTTCAAGGGACGTGTGCTTAGTTATTAACGTAAACCTTTAGTTAATGGAAGTGTTTCCTTCCAGTTAACTAAGATCACCTTTGTGATTGTGAGACAAGTAAAACTGAAAATAGTTGAAGGATATATCAATAGATGAAAGATCTCCAAGTAAACCAGGGGTCCTGAAGCTGGATCTGTAGGCCCAATCTGTCTACACATTGTCAGTCCGGCTGAGTTTGTAAGGATCTGAATCAGCCTGTTATTGCCTTAATAGGACCAATTTACAGACTTCTCCCAGCTCTTAAGGTTCTAGTACTTTAAAAAGTTTAGAAAATCCAGCAGACACACTGGCCTTCCAAGAGCAGGATTGGGGACTCCTGAATTTAACACATATCTGGACAGATTGGAAATGATTGCTTTATAGCTAATGCATACCTTGACGTTGCTAAGATCAACAGGGCGCTAAACTAAACCCTTCGATTGGAGACTAATGAATGACCTCTAATAAGAGTAAACCACACAGCATAGATGGTCTGAATCACATACTGTATCGATTGTATTACAGTTCAGAAGCATGGTTAACAGGATAATCTTTTAGACTCTTTGATTTGTTATTACCTGGCTCTCACACTTAGGTGGCACTTTGGGTCTCTCTAAATTCAACCTGTCCAAAACCAGAAAATAAAATGCTAATAAAAACAGACAACAATCACAGTTTTGATCAGGAACGTCTTATTTTTATAACTAAATTTACGCACAGAAATCTAAACATAATTTAAATATGGTTTCATAATAAAAACGATAAAATGTAAACTTGAGGAATAGTCACATATCACTGCTGTGCAGTTTGTGAGAATTTCTGAAGTGCCTGCATTTAGATTGTTTTCCTCTCGTCAAACTATATTTGAACATACGGTACTAAGATTTCATCAATAGTGACTATATCAGTTAAGAAAAGCTCTGTACAACTATAATAATATTCTGTACCACTTTTCATAGTTCCTAAACAGATGAAAGGTCAAAATTTAAATTGCGGTTTCATTGTACATGTGAGATAGGTTTAAGAAACGCCAGGAGTTTTCACTTTCACCAGAGGTGCACTTCGTATAAAACCAATTTACCTGATCACCTGACGCGACTCCTCCTTCAGCAAGTGTGGCTGGTTAGGCACGGAAAAGCATTCGTATTCCTCGAGATGTGCGTTTCGCTACTGTACTTCAGAAAGGGACGGAGTTAAACCGAGGACTCCTGAAGAAAAAAGGCACCCTTTTTTCTAACCTTCCCTCCTCTCTGACTCTGAATTAATTAGTGATGAAGCGGCTGCCGCTGGTGATGCGTTTCTATGAGAGAGACGACGGTATAGTCGGAAGCAGCAACCTTAGCCTGAGCAGCCTGGGTTAAAAAGTGAAATCGATGGTTCATCTGCGGCGCAACTAAATCTAGACTGATGACTCGTACAAATTCCTTCACAACCACCGACTTCATTTAAGGTAAATGCCGGTGTTCGTTGTAAAGCAATATGGATTTTTCTTCTCGTTTTCTCTTATTGGGGAAAAAAAGCGATGTTCCTATTTCAAGTAATTGGAGAAGTATGTACAGTACATCCTTACGCGAACATTTAAAAACATCTTAAGGTGTTGCAAGTAAAGCTTTTTAATTGTCGGGGCGTACCGATGTGATACTTTGGAGGTTTTAAGTTTAAAGAGCTGTCTTAACTTTATGTGTGTTTATTAAGATAAAAATAGCGTTACCAAAAGAACATTGACAAACGTTTAATTTTAGTAGCTGTTTTTTAATGATTCAGCTTATCCATTCTTTTAACAATTACTTCACAGAGAACACACATCTGAATACTCTCGATGAATTTAAGATGAAACCTGCATTTCTTTAACTATAAGGATAATCGGTTGAAAAACAGGCTTGAACGATGTGGAGAGCACGTTTTCAACCAGGATACTCAAGGTTGTGATTGTAAGGTCTTAAGAAACCTGGCAGAGAGAGAGAGACGAATCGTACCGATACATCACTGTATTCTTAAAGGCCTTGAACTTTTATGACCATATCGCTCAGTGATTGGTGTTAAAACCTGGGGAAAGAACTATAATGAGAAGGATGTTCCGAAGCTAGGAATACGTGGACATTTTGACTGATGTCCGACTAATTTGTGCTTGTTTGATGACAAAATAAATCACACACAGTGCATGGAATGCTACTCTGTCTCGGTCTGTGTATTTAGCTGTACAGTAAGAGAATAGGGAAAGGATTTAAGACCATCTGCGTGTGTACTGTAGCACACATTCTTGAACACATTAGACAAAGATGTAAGGTCTGTGAAAGGACATTGAAAACTTATTTTAAAGCCAGTAATAAAATATCGGGTTGGAAGTTAATATAAATAAACATCTGCTTGCTATTGTTAGAACAAAAGAAGTGGGCTTGAAGTCGTTTCTCCTTTCTATGATTCGCAAAATCATCCTAACGTCTCACATAATGTAGGGTTGGTATTACTACAGAAAATCTCGGAGGTTCATATTTTAACAGGTGATTTAGAGTGATAATTATTTTATCGACGACATGTTCCACTATAATTAAAGGGTTCACGTGGGTGTTTTTTTACATGTAGGCTTTGTGAAATCAAGTATAGGTTTGAACTCTCGAGTCAAGTAGGCTTACAATAAAGCAAACGCTTGTGGATAAATTGATTTGGGGTCCGTGTTTCTGATAAAAACAGTGATAGTAAAAGCATTAACAAGTATATCATGTAACACTCTGTACAGGAAAACTAAGAACTAAATTATCAACCAGGTGAATAACATCTCATTGTTTCATGAGAACACCAAGTACTGTTTTCCCACACTTTTGTAAGATCTCTGAATGTTAGTTCAGAAAGAAACGCGTCAAAACAAAATGTATTATTTACATAAGTTGTCAGGTCGAAAATGACTCCCCCATTTCAGCACCTTCTGACTGAAGGTAAAATCACTTTGTTGCGTCTCAATGAATATTTTACAATTGTGATACTGTACTTATACTCTGTCGTGCACAAAATGATGGACTATCATTTTGTTCTTTGTAAGTCTACATTTCTTGAAGCACAGGAGATTTTCTTTAAATATGATAAATAATATCGCTGTTGTATATATGCAGTATTTAAATTTCATATTGTCCTTATATCAGCTTGACCTCAATTCATCTGCATAATGCTCAGAGGCACCACTGATGCTGCAGAAAAGTGATTTCTTCTTTTTTTTTGTCCCCGTTATCATGGGAGAACAATGCTACCCTTCAAAATTTGCTGAGGACTAAATGACATCTAAAGAGAAAGGCCATTGCATTTGCAGAAGAGTTGAGTGGCTGAGCTAGACTGACCATGCTTGGAAGGACTAGCAAATTAAATAAACAAACTCTATTTCTATGGGCAGTCTCTCCTGGACTTTGCTATACTAGGGGTTTAAGGATTCAGAATTTGACATGTGCAATGGAGAATGAAGTGGGAGAGAAAGCTCATTATTTTCATACTCCACTGCATTCTTTCAATGGTTTGCAGTTTATCTGAAACTAGATGCAAAAATAAACCAAAGCATTTTCTCTATATAAAAGAAGGCTTTGAGGTATGAGTTTGCATGCTGCAAGACAAACTATGCATTCTGTTCAGTGGGAAGGAATGCATGGTGTTTAGTTAGCTGAGCAAACATATAAAGACTGTAATATTGACATATTTTAGAAGCAGCTGATTTTTTGTTCATATTACAGTGTTAAGCATTGAACTCTGAAGCGAGAAAAAAAGAATGCACAATTGTGAAAACTACCTTTACCTTAACCTTTGTGACTACAGATGTTACCAGGATATGATTTTGTGTGAGCAATGTTTAATTGTTGCTTCTTCCCTTTACATTAAGGGCTTATCTGAATAACAATCTCAATAAAAAAAACATCAATTTATGAATATTGTATGAGGTTCTGGTCTGAGAATAAAATATACTAAACAACTAAGGGAACAGCAAAATCTTAAGATGTAAATGTATTCTGTGTTTGGTAAGAAAATGTTAAGGAAGTCTCCCTGGGACAGAAAAGCCATCATTAAAACTGTAATATTTCCAGCATAATGAGTGTCAAATCCAATCACCATGTCCCAATATCCTGTGTTAATTAATATTTTCTTTTTGGTGTTCATTATAATACATTACACAAGAACCATTTAGGGAGATTCTAAATGCAGGGATGATATGGTTTTGATTTCAGTTTTAACTGCAAGCATTATTCATATGCCTAGTCAGAGGCATGTTCTGGCTTTTCTTCTGTAGAGTGTGGTCACAGAAGGCCATCGGCACAGATTACACATAGGGATTTCCTACATCTGGTGTAATCATGATCCCATGAATCCATTCACTGATGGGACTGACATGGAGGCAGCTAACAATATTTTAGACCAGCCTTTTGGGAAATGTTAGGATTACTTTTAGCTTTTACAAGCATGAAATCCTGCAGAAGTAATTGTTTTTTCTCTGAAGAGACATGTGACCATGAAAAGCTATAACTAATGTAGTCTCAAGAGATCTCATTTATCAAGTAGTTTTAGCATTTAGAGCTACCGCCGCTGTTAATCCCCCTTAACATTATGTCTGGCTGAGAAACATCCTATAGCTAGACAGCACACTGGTACAGTATGTGTTCTGATGGCAGTGAGAGTCTTTCTTCCTATCAGGTGGTCATACATAATGAATAAGTCACTGTAAGTTACAGTACAAGGAACTAGGCTAATACTCTGATTTGCATATTAATACATAATTTTATTATTTATGAATTTGTGGGGCTACGCAGAGTATACCAATATATTTGCTTCAGTTCTGTGAGTCTGGTCCAATAAATTGATATGGTGTGAAAGCTACAGTATATTGATTCCTTTTCACCTTCTACATCACTTGAAACAAAGTTGCTTCAAAGCCCAATAAGTATTTTGGCAACCTTTCAGTTTTAGTAAAGTTTCTTGAAGGCTGATAAGATTTTAGATACAGAATGCCAGCAGATCTGCCTTGTAGCTTATTATCATTCTGAAGCATCAATGCTGTTGGTTACAGTTGATGGAAAAGTAAAGTTAAAACTAAAGAAAGAATGTTGGCAAATACCTGTCTGATAAAAAGGACTTTTTCCTGTGTTCTAATACATCCTGTTAGACCACATTAAGTTTTATTTCCAGCAGTTGAACTGTTATTTGTATTAATAACAGTTAACATAGTATTTATGCAGTACTGTGTATTTTAATGTATCTGAAAGAGCTCGTTTTGATTCCTACTTCTATTGGAACCCAAATTATCACTGTTTATAACAGGACATACTGTAACAGACTACATACTGTATCAGTTAGTGTTGTGTTGGTTCGTCAGAGGTGTGTATTACTTTTTAATGGAACAGGTAAAGGTATAATCCATGCTGAAGGAAAAGAAAAGAGACACAATATTTCGGCTGTGGAGCCTTTTTCCAGTTGTGTGTCTTCTTTTCCTTTCAGCGTGGAATAAACCGTTGTCTGTTCCTTTGCAGCCTACGCATGCTGACACTGCTAACTACCTGAATTTCCTTTATAATGTTCAACTTCATGCTGTAACACATCCTGTAGATTGGTTGTAGTTGAACCTAGAACAAAGCACTTTTAAACATTCATCTGATCTTTGACTTGAAAATTAGCTCATGTTTATTAAATATGCCCTTATTCTTTCTCTTGGCCTCTGAGCGGAATATTTCTAGAAATAATTTAAAATGTTTTTTTTATTTAAATGCATTGCATTGAAATAAGGTACTGTATATTACAAAGGCTCTTTATTCCAAGGATATCTGAGGATAATGAGGGCAGTAATTTAACTGAACTCCTTGACAAGGTGATAAGATGGGACACATTTTCTAAGAAGGGTTTATGCACATCTTATACATATGAAATGATGCAATAGGAAGCCTTAAAATTGGGCATTAAAAGATCACACTTGGTCTATCAATTCTCAGTAAAACCAATCTAAAGAGCATCATGGGGATCCAAGAATGGCCTTTAATGATTTATGTCTCGCTCTGTGACATTCATTCAGGTTCCTTTATTTTAGATTATATCACTTTTCTAAAAGAATGGAAACAATTATACTATAATAAAACTGTATTACTCTATTTGGTCATTTTTAAGTCTGTGTATATAAAATCATAACACTGTCAGGGAATATCAACTTTAAAACTGTAAGCCAGCAATGCTTAAGAATGGCTTTGTGAGGTATAGTGGGGAAACAAGGGGCACTACATACAGAAACAGCACTCAGGCTGTGGCAGGCCCACAGGGCTTCTTCATCTGTAGGGCTCTCGGGCGCCTAGGAATCTAGGCGGGTGCCATTGTGGTGCTCTTGGCTCTGGTAGATGGTACTTTGTTTCTGAAGGTTGTGAGTTATCAACAGATGAACTAATATTAACCTTGGCAAGAGATGGAGCATATCTGTATTTTTGTGGGATAATGCAA